ACTGCAACATTTTCTGCATGCTTTGGTGCAGCGTTTATTATGTTCCATCCCACAAAGTATGCAGCTATGCTGTCTGAAAAAATGCAGAAACACGGTGCAACCGGATGGCTTGTCAACACTGGCTGGTCTGGTGGAAGGTATATATAAAAATGTTTGCAAATTTTGTTACATCTGCGTTAATGATAACCTTGGGAGTCGACATTGTTGTTATTTTAAAGTCATTGATAAAAACTCTGTTAAGTTTATGCTAACAAAATGTTGTGTATGTATTCCACTCCGTACTCATATTAATGATAGAATTCAGGATTAGTTGAGGTCATTTAACCGGATTCATAAGACATTTGGTCCAAACACACTAATAGTCCGAATCTTATGTTTTAACTAGTTCCACCCCAAATCCTATTAATTTCCTCTTTAATTTGTGAAGTGGATTCTAACAAGTAGTTTTGTCAAAGTTAGACGTGCTTTCCTTCCAAAGCTTCTCATGACAGTCGTGGCTTTCAAATGCCAATCCTTTGTAACTAGTTTTTGTAAAAAGAAGTGATGCAGCTTAAAAGTCAAATCAATTTTAACTAGGCTTTAATATTCTTGATATATCTGCAGATATGGATCTGGCAGCCGCATAAAGTTGGCATACACCAGGAAGATCATTGATGCCATTCACTCGGGGAAACTGCTAGAAGCAAATTACACAAAAACGGAGGTTTTTGGGCTTGAGATCCCTACGGAGTTAGAAGGGCTGCCTTCTGAAATCTTGAACCCCATCAACACTGTAAGTGATATAATGCAAGTACATTCATATTCTATATGTTGATTTACGTAGTATTATTTTGTACGGAGTATTTAACTTATCTAGGACAAATATTTTGGAACTTATGCAGGACAAATATTTTGGATGAAATTGTCCGCAATAGGAGTAAAATATGGACCTAATACACCAATATGACTAATTATGTCGTTTTCTCAAAATATGACTTCGTTTTGGTCCTAAAAAAAGAATATAAGTAAAAAAATTGTCAATGAGTCCTATCTTGAGGAAAAAAATGGCTTTCATATTTGAGTAAATGTGTTATGTTGTGGTTGTAATTAGTTTATGTCCACTTATTTTATACATTGGTTTATTATTTTCTATTTAATCATTGTGTAACGAATTATTGATTATTGTGAGGTGAAATAATTATAAGAATAGTCTAAAAAAATAAAACAAGGTCACTCTTTAATGGTCCATGCGCTATATATACACTATAGTCTGACTAGATGAGCTTTTAACTTCTATTGATGCACTCTTATTATTACATATATGTGGCAGTGGTCTAACAAGGATGAATACAATACAACCCTGCTGAAGCTTGGAGGGCTGTTCAAGACAAACTTTGAGGTATTCTTGAACTACAAAATTGGGTCCGACAACAACAGTCTGACTGAGGAGATTTTAGCAGCCGGGCCAAACTTCTAAGTGCTATTATCTGGACACAGATTGCTAAAGATGATGACGAAAGAAATGATCAATAAATGAATTTGTACGAGACTATATATTGTACTAGAAAGGGTATATTAAACAAAATGTGCAACTCTATGTGCTGGCTGAAGTGCTGAACAAGTAAATTTCACGTCTCTATAGTGTGTCCTTACTCTAATATTGAATGAATGTCGACAATTTGTTGCATAAACAAGACTTTGTTATAAGAATGAGGTGGAGGCGATATGGTTTATTATGGGATAATGATGAGATAACCTGAGAAGTCTAAAAAATATGGATAAATTTTCGGGTCTCTTGGGCATTTTATATGCCTTGAGAGTGTTTCTTCTTTAGTGGCATTTCATCACACCACCATCAACAGTCTTTTTAAAGAAGTGTGTTCATTCTTGTGTCCCCGTCGTTTTGGAAGAAATATGCTGCTGAATTTAAGATGAATGTGATGTTCTTGAACTATTCTATTATTTGTAGAACCTTAGTTGTGATACTTGTTACCAAGCAAAATCTTTAATCACAAATTTTTAGGTGGAGTATGAGGCTTTCAATATTAAGTTCACTTGGTTGAGTGCATTGGCGGACCTGGTGTTGTTCAAGGGTGTTCACTTGAACACCAAAGTGAACACCTTGAATTTTCAAGAACCAGTAACTAGAACTAGGATCTTTGCTGCATTTTGATAATATTAGCGTCGTTTTGAAGATTGGATCCTGAGACTACCGATTCAGTCCGCCTATAAAATCAATTGCCCAAATCCTCGCAGGTATTCGAGTGCCACTGCAAATATTTCAATCTTTTCACCCTTATTTAGCAATCTATGCTCCAAATATCTACCCTAAACCGAGTGTGTGAAGTAGACGATGAATGGCAGAATGATGCTTGAGTTTAGGATCTGTGGTACTCGAACAAATGGTAAACTCACCGCCTCAATTAACCATGTTGGACATTAGCATAGAGAAAAATCTCCTTAAATCAGTAAATATGATCCTGTGTGAGCTGTCTTTTTTGGAGCATACTCAGCATAGTGATTAAATGACCGTTTAGTACCAATAGCAATGACATTTAGATCTTTTTAAAAATAGTAGGAAAAGTAAAACGGTGTACTAATTTAATTTATTGACATTTTAGTATTTTTTTATTAGAAACATGTTGCTATAATTTATTAGCCGTTTAGTAATTTTTTTTATTGAAAATGATGCATTTGGATAATTCTTGCATAAATTAATACTATCATTTGGGCTAGATTAAGGGCTATATCCTTAAATTAGTCTCTACACTCAACCAGTGGCTTTAAAATGCCATGTTTAAAGCCTAATAATGTCAAACTTGGCAGAAATTTATTCGTATTCAGGGAATAAAAAAACATGGTAGTCCTATTTTGGAATTTCAAATTTTTTTATTCCTATTTAGGGAATTTTCTCTTACTATTACTATTTCACATACTCATGTATGTAAAAGTTTATTACACTTTCCTATTTGAAATGTATTTAAAAGTTTGCTACATTTCCTCTTTTTGGTAAATTTTTCCCTTAGAAATACTCAATTATCCTTATTTTTTCTACTTTAATTTTTATTTTATTCTCCTACTTTTTCACCTTCTCTCATACTTTTTCAGCTTTTCTGCGTTATTCATTACACCTACTATTTTCCCTTTAAATATTGGATCAAGACCTAATGTAGTGATCTTTTAAATACGTAGGGCCGGAGTATAAAATATTTTCAAATAAACTTTTACACAATTGATATAAACATTTTTTAAATTTGGAATGAGTCGGGTAAGATCAAACCCCCTACCTCTGCGGCCCTAATACATGCAATGCAAGCTATGGGTTGTTTTTGTATCAAAACAATTCAATCTTCAATTTTTTAAAATGATGCAGGGCCTAATTTTATTCTCATTCTTCAAAAAGAAATTTTATTTTCAGTTACGAGCCATCATTTGTTTGTGTCAGTGTGTCTATTTTTAAATTCGCGGTACTAAAAAAGGAAAAATTGAAAATAATAATCTCAACTATTGCCGGTCCGCCAACAATAATCCCAACTATTGATTATTTTTGTATAATCCCAACTATATGGACCATCCGCCAATAATGGTCCATGACCAAATATTACCTTCTATAAAAGTGAATTTTAAATAGAAATTTAGCGTAAAAATTAAAAGTTGAGATTATTTTTAGAGATTACTTGCTATATCTCTTCTCATCCACTTCAGAAAGTACATGAATTTATTTACAGGGACTGTTATTGGCGGAAGGACCCTAAAGTTGGGATTATTCTAAAATAATCGATAGTTGGGATTATTATAAGCGGACCGCCAATAGTTGGGATTATTACAATCAATTTTTCCTTTGAAAAATACTTTTAATGTTAGTTTGAACACTCAAATTATAAGGGCTAGATCCGCCACTGGTTGAGTGTAGAGACTAGAGAGATAGTTGATGTGTAGAGCCCAAGAAAGGACATGAAAATCACTACAACAAAAAGTGTCATTTACATCCAAGTTTTCATCCATGGATGTGGACGCTAATAAAAGCCTATTTTTGCGCTGACTTGTGGATGCAAAAAATAAAATAAAGAAAATTAAAAACATCAGAGAAAATTAACAATACAACATAACTTTCTTCACATTATCCAAATACACAAATAAAAGAGAAGAAAATAAAAAAGTAAAGAAAATTTAGGGGGACCATACCCTTGCCCAAATTAAACAATTCTAAAAAAAAGGATAACCAAATGAATAAGCAATAATGGATCTTCTAACTAATAATGGTAAATTGCCAAAAGGTACTTGGTTAAAGGCTATTTACCTTGTTTTTACTAACTTGTGAAATTAACTTGAAGTTACATATTAAAGTGAGTACATACACCCAATTTTCTCTAATATTAGTAATAATAATAATGATAATAATACCAATAATAATAATAATAATAATAATAATAATAATCATGGGAAAATAATTTAAATACCTCAAACTTTAATGGGATGTGAAATTAGTACCACAAAATTGCATATATGTAATATATATACCCTAAACTTTATACGTAGTATAAAAAGTTATTCTCGCACAACGATTGTATGTTTTTTTACAAATACAAATTTATTGGAATAATTACATTATTAAAATTATCTGAGCTTTGTTTTTTTATCATCAAAACATGTCTCTATTCATATCTAAAGATTCAGGATCATTACATCAAGCAAAGGGAAAACAAAATAGACACCAACTGAAACTCCAACAACTACGACTGTAACCCTATGGTGAGACTAATGTTCTAAAAGGCGCTAGGCGCTAGTCGGGCGCCAGCCCAGCGCCTAGCGCCTAGTCGGCTAGGCGGGCGCCTAGGCGGGGACTAGTCGGAGACATAAAAATTGTAGTTTTATCAATATATTTGCATAAATATGATTAGTGATTTTGTGTTTGTGTGTATAAAAGATATACACACACATATACACATTAACATGCATGAATGATAGAGTTATCACATTTAATAATATATTATATCTACTTACTTACTCACTAGTAGCTTTCTTCTTATGCATTGTCAAAGATAAAGATACATATATCTCTTAGGATACTAAAATAAAAAAGAACAAAAAATCTTCAATGAATGTACACGCCTAAGCGGCCCATTAAGCGCTCTAGGTGGGAAACTGGGCGCCCTAGGCGGCCGACTAATTCACTTAGGCGCCAAATCAATTAGTCGGAGCGCCTAGACTAAAATTGGGGCGCCCGACCACCGCCTAGCGCCTAGGCGGGGACTAGTCGGACGCCTAGAGCGATTTTTAGAACAGTGGGTGAGACTTTGAGACGGTCACCCCTGAGAGAGCAACACGAATCGCTAACCATGTAGTGGGCTTGACACAGCCAAACCTATTCCCATAGATCCAACCATACCCAATGACATAAAGAGAGGCAAAAAACTCAAACAAACTGTCAAACTCAACAACAAAAATGGACGCAAGAAAACAAATAACAAACAGATAAAAACTACAAGAAAAACGTTCACGAACTCTAGCACCTCGTGCATCCCATGGTGGTGGTTCAGGAGGAGGTCGTACCACTGGTACCATGCTAATTGATCCTCCATGACCTTTGGCTGCCAAAGACCATGCATCAATCCTCCGTCCCTGCATAACCAAACTCAACTCTACTCCGTGCGACCAGAGTAAGCGGATAGGCGACACCGATCTTCTGCAACGACGACGACAACGCCGCATCCTCGAACCTTGACCACGATGCCGATCTCTTTGAGCCATGACAGCAAATATGCCCTCCTCCACCGATCTCCGCCCTCTGCATCTGACCTGGACTCCAGTCGAGCACCAACGACCAAGGGATAACAAAGCTGATCTTCGACAAAGTCGAAATAGGAAAAAGGCTCCAGTGGCCGACATAGTTAAAGCCCTAGAGAGAAAAACGCGTGATCGCTCTACCTTAGCCAAAAGCAGACCACTACTCCGCGGCCAGATATGCAAACAAGAACAGCCGAACTTCGATCAATATGATCGAATTCGGAAAAAAAGCCTAGAGGCAGCTGCCCTAGGAGAAACGATCTCTTGATTTGAGAACTAAAATACTCCGATCCATACAATACTTTGCCTAGTCGTAGAAAGAAGTCGGAGAATCAAACCAACCGCAGCAACTCTAGGAAGCAGAAGAGCTTCGTCGGTCTCGCCCTCCCTCGCAAAATCAGATTGTAAGGAAGAAGGCCACAACGAAACTACGCCTAACGCACAACCTCAGTCTCCTTCATCCCAGCGAGCAAGTAGCGTAAGGAATTCAGCTAGCCAGATCGGAGCCTCCTTCATCAAACTTGAAGTACGTATAAGAATTGGAAAGAGTAGTTTATCTAAGTTTTGTTAGAATGCAGTTAACAATCTAAAATTTCATTTGTGAAATAAATAATATTACATTCGGTACAATTTAAATTTAATTGAATTCTCAGAAATTTAAATGTTTTATACTACCTCCGTCCCGGTAGACTTTGCCAAGTGCAAAGTGGGTGAGAAATAAGAATAGTAAACACTGTGTGGGTTGAGATTTGTGCAGAGGGAAGAGAAATGTGCAGAACCACAAACTAGTCACTTTAATAGGAAAGTGACAAAGTTTTTTGGGACAACCAAAAAGGGAAAGTTGACAAAGTCCAATGGGACGGAGGAAGTATTAAATATTTACTATCATATAATTATATTTTTGAAGAAATATATTATCGTGATGCTAATATAATTTTTTATATAAAGTTTGAGGTATATATATTACATGTGCAAGTTTGATATACTTATCTCACAACTCTTAAAAATTATTTTCAGCCTTTTTTGAACTGAATGAGTGTGCCAAACACATCCAAAGAAATTTAACTAATTGCAATTTTCCATCTAATTATGTTCGTTGGTTAAAAAAGGCTGAAAGTTTTCAAATTCAGTCAATTGACTAATTTATGAGCTGAATTCCACAAATTCAAGCCCATTATGGGCTGAAAGCACACAACGAACAAAGCCTAAATGTTCCAAAAATGGTTTTTATTTGTTTCAGATTACATCAATAAAGATTATTATTCTTATAATTTTCTAAAATCAGTAGCGAGGTTGAAGCTGATGATGAATCTAATCATGTGGTGATATTTTCCGAGTAAATGAACAAACAGTGAGAAGAAATAGAGTTATTGGAGGTTTAGTGGATGGCTTAAATCCCTACTGGGATGAGTGAGAAGTCATGATGAAGGAAATTCTTTTATAGATTCAAGTAGATTTTTTGTTAATTATGTTATCCTCGATATTTCATCAAACCTTTCCAATACTCAAATGATTCCAAATATACTTTTGAGTCTATGCAATCACTAAATGTGAGAATATCTCGTACTCAATTCCTTCAAAACTTTTTTTTTGGAAAGTTCTATTACCTTTGAGATTTGCAGTTACCCACAAAGATTTTAAAATGTTGGTTATGAGCATTGTTTGAATGTACTTCGTTTTGTTTTAATCCGGAAGATAAACTACTCATCGGTGTGCCAAATGTCAAGAAAACATTTGCCTAATTTTATTAAAATATAAATAAGGTATAAAAGGAGAGGAGGACTATACCAAACCCTTTCTGAAAAGGGCATACTCTTCCCAAATACACGAATAAAAGAGAACAAAATTTGAAAATAAAGAAATTTGGAAACCCTTACCCAAATTAAACAATTGTGGAAAAAGAATAATCAAATGAATTAGCAATAATGAATTTTCTAACTAATAATGGTAAATCGCAATTATTGTCAAAATAAATCTCCTTCGAGGAGTCCAAATCCAAATGGGCTAAGAAATGAGCGGCTGAATTACCTTCTTTAAATGAGCGGGCGTCCGAACACGAGCTAAGCATATTTGAAAACCCTTCGTTTCTCATCAGCGTAGACTTTCCCTCTCTCGTTGTAACTGGCATCTAGAAGTGCCGAAATCGCCATGACCAAATCTGATTCCGCATGAAACTCAACAAACCCCAGCGTTGTTGCTTTGATGGTCGCATGATGTATAACTTTAATCTCAGCTTCAAAGACCGAATCTGATGTGATGGAGAAGCATATAGCGAAGTTCAAATCTCCAGCTCTGTTGCGCAAAGTCGCTCCCCCTTTTGAAGAGTCGGGTAAGAATGGTGCATCTACGCTCAACTTATATTGAATGTTAGGTCTTCAAGAGCTCAAAATTTGCACACATCTTCAATTTATGTAAGCTATAAGATCAATTTTGAGCGTATTTTTTTTATCTGAAAAATTATGAATTTCATGGAGGGTAAGACTGAAAAATCTCCATACACTAGATTAGTGTATAGCTTCCATAAGAATCAATTAATCATCAGTTGCCGAACAAATATAGGGATGTGTAATCTATCAACCCCAAAAATACCCATAAAATGTGACCATACTTTCTGAGCGTAGGGGCAACAACAAAAAACATGATGTATAGATTAAGATTCATTTCTACAAAAAGGGCATTGTAAGGGAAAATAACCAATCTCAATCTAAGTGGATTTTATGAAATAATTATCAAGTTGTGTAAGAGCTTCAACCGAAAAACTTTATCTGCATAGGCCGATTTTTATGTCAAATACGTTTACAGGAGAAAGTGGAGGAGCTTCTCCATTTAACATCCTCAAAGGCTGAAACAAGCTAAGTGGGAAGTCAGTAAGTCACCTACCATGCCAGGTAATCAAATCAAGTTATTATCATCCCCAATCTCTTAAATAGTTCTACCCTTGTCATTTATGGTACATAATTAACCTTCTCCAAAGTAGAGAGTCAGATATCTTGGAGTTCATATCACAATCCCTAAGGTACCGGGCATAACAGAATTTTGACCAAAATGAATCATTATTTTTCAATGTATCATGTATGACAATAGTCGAATACCAACCCTCCTTCACTTGGCATGGACATGTCTCTCCGTTAAAAAGTACTTCGTATTATATAGAATTTACACATACTTCAAACTAATTGTAGTAATGTATGAATCGTTAACATTTAAGATTAGTGAACACGTGAAAACTAAAATAGTCGGGTTGTTTCTTGGCTGTAATGTTATGAGATAAATCATACGAAGTATATGGTTTCAAGCACCGCAATTGCCGATCACGTCAACCATCATAGTATAACCAAGTGCAAGTGTGCAACTGCAACTCCTCTCACCTTATCATACTTTCTTCGTCTCATTTTGTAAGATGCACTTTCCTTTTTAGATTGTCCCAAAAATATATGATCACTTTCTTAAATTTGACTCCACTAACTTTTACTTTCTCACTTCACCTAGCGCTTTATTTATCCATCATTTCACCATTTATTTTTTGTGAATTCATTTTTCTCTTTCTTACTTTGTGGAGGTTAGGATTGTAAAACAAATATTTTATCTTTTATTTTCTTAAAACATGCATCAAACTCATATGCATCTTACATTAAGGGATGGAGTTCTTATGTACTAGGCATCGTGTTAATTTATTTTTTGGAGTTTTATTGATCTAGGACCGGAAAGATATATGAATTATCAATTCGAGACCTTAAAGATGAAATATGTCGGTATCGTGATCGAATGATTGAAAACTAAAGATCTAGGACCTGAAATTTCATAATTTTTTATTTATTTAAGTTTTTTATTAATTGTATTGCTAATTTTTTATGAATTTTTCTTCACAAAAGTTCATTAGTTAAATAAATTAAATAATATTATAATATTTTAAAATAAAGAAATCATAGAATGCATGACAACATAACTTAGGTACTAGTTTGATAGTTATCGATCATTCGGTCATTCAAAAAATTCCTTATTTTTTCTATCTTAAGTATTACACATGCTACTTTTCTTAAATCTCTACGGCCGAAATACCTTTTGGGCTGTCAGTTGAGGAGAGCAAGAGCTTGAGAGAGGCGTGTGAGGTTTGGGCTGTCAGAAGGCCCAACCACAGCCCACCTAAGCCCATTTTAACCATGAAGCCCAAAAATAGAACCACCGGCATTCCCACCGTGAAGCCCAAGTTTATAATAGCTTTGATGGCGGGGCAGGCCATCGCTATTTGAACCCAGCATCAGGTGGTTTTCGCGCAGTTCCCGAGCTCGCACCACTTGTTATAGACCCGTCGTTAGATGTTTCTAGCTCCATGAAGAATCTAGACGTGAACGCTCATAGACGAGCATAGTATTCCGGAGGAATGATATCTATAGATTTTGGACCAAATATAAAGATTCTAAATTTAAAAAAATTAGAATCAATCTCGTGCATTAGAATATGAACACTTTTTGTAATAGAAACCAAGAGCAATTTTGTGCAGATTTTGAGGTTTGATAGTTTCAACGGAAGATCTCAATATAAATGCAACATTTTAACACATGGGAACTTGCGATGAAAATCGTCCGTTTTGAACTATATTAAAATATTTGTTTTACAAAACGAAGGGTGATGAATATATTAGCATAAAAGTTGAGAAAATTCTTTTTTACATTCATTGATTTTGGGACATGTATGTCTATCTAAAATATTATAATAATGAATTACAGTAAGGATACTTTAGGTATAAAAAAGTGTTTGGTGTAATCATAAGCTAATGTTAACTTGTACTTTTGAGCTGAAATGATTGTATCTTTGTTAGTCTAGCATATTTAATACCCAATGAACCGTACAATCCGTTAGTTAAGTTTATGTACATGTTTTCAATATTAGCACTTACCGTTAAATGCTTTCAATTTACACACATTTCTTTCTTTTCCTTGCTCTAATCTTTTTTTAGTTTTTTTTGCTTAACAAATATACTACGCATAGGTCAAAAAAACAAATATACTACGTAACATTGTAACAAGCTATTATAATACTCCGTATTATTTTTCAATTTATGGGTATAGAATTATGGATGTCTTTATTCTTTTCTTTTTTCAAACAAGATATAGGAATAAACTACTTTGTTTATTAACTCGATCATAGTCCATTTAGCAACACTTAAATTTGCTGAATAAATATTGAAATTGAAGAAATGCTTGCTAAAGTGGCTGAATTGTCTTAATATATTGATAAATAGAAAAATTGTATATAAAATTGTTTTATTAATAGATTAAAGAAAGAATTATATACAAAATGATTAAAATTATCATCTACTGTAATTTTAACCAATTCAGTCAGAAAGGTCATTTCAACATTACTTATTTGATGATTGCATAAGTCAGTGACAGAAATCAAAAGTTACAAGTTTGATAAAATATATTGATTGATAAGGCTGACGAGCTGAAAAACAAGTTACCAAATGGGCTCTAAAATAACGTTAAGGAAGATAGTTGACTTAATTAGGAAAAATCTACCTCATTTGCTACTTACTACCTTCGTTCCCCTAACATTAGTACAAGAGAAGGTGACATGGTTACCAATAAAAGTAAGAATGATTGTAAACCACACAAACGTTACCAAACTTGATATAATACAATCTTAGTGGAAGGACAAGAAAGGAAAGGTGGGACTATCTTAACTGGACGGAGGGAGTATTCAACGATTATTACTAAAATTGTTACAAGTTTATTTTATATTGGTAATGTAAATACTTTGAGCTTGTTTCTCAGCCTCTATTTTGACTCATTAGACTAATCAAATACCCCGATAACATTTTTAGGAAACATGCAGTTTTTTATTTCACACGCTAAATTGGCTATTAAAAGTAAGATTAGTGTCACTTTTTCTACTGAATTTGAAGAAAAGTCTATTGTAGTTATTTTTCGTAAACTATATGCTTTTATAATTTGACACATTTAGACAATTTGATCCAAATTTGAAAAAAATTAACAAAATATGTCGATTCAATTAATTTCATTGTTATCAAAAGGACTATTCAAGTCTTGAGCTACAAGTGAGCTACAAGTTCTGTGAGTAATATGTTCTAGAGGTAAAGCGGGAAGGAAAATAGGGTGAAAAGAAAAGAAAAGAAAAGAGATGGACTCTTCTACAAATGTGCAGAAGAAGAGTATACTTCTTACTTTCTATCTTCTTCCAGTGCATTTTCTTAGGTCTATAAAAGTTTATCTGAAAATTATAATATTTTGTTTAGTAACTGTTTCTCATCTTAGTATGCCACGATTTTGTTATATCAACTATCTTGAATGAATCAATAATAATACATACTTTGAAAACGATTTCTAATAATGTCAACTATTTTAATAAACAACAAAAATAATATGAAGCCACTTTTAGACAAGAAATTCAATCATTTAAGACATCAAAAACGTATATCAAACCATCAAATAAATGTTAGTTGGCAATATAATATGATCACTTATTTAGTATTTTGACATTAGTTTTTGATCAATTAAATGATTGAATTTTTTAGTTAGGGGTTGCTCTATGTCACTTCTGTTATATATTCAAATTCAAATAGTTGATATTATTAAAAGTTACTACGAGTTTTCAAAGTATTATGTTTATTGCACCTCTCATTCGTATCTCGTATATTATCATGTGAAGGTATTATATTAGATCGAATGTGACCCAACAATATTTTAATATGTACTAGATATTTATCACAATGTTAATGATACTTTTTCATATGAAATTAGAAAAATAGGGGCTAGCCCGTATGTGCATTTGCAATTTTTTTATTTTATTTTTGGGTCCTCTTTCATGATGAGAAAATATTAAATACTCTATTTTTAAGTTGATATAAAAGTTAATGTGTTAAATACTAAAAGTAATCATATCAAATTAACACCTAATGTACATATTTCCAAAAAAATCATTGGGCATTTTATTCAATTGCACAACGTGCATGTAGGAAACTAGTAATGTACTACTCTCTAACCACGAAACTCGACCGCTTGTTGCACAGACTATTTATTAAAAATGGTTCATAAATGTTAGACAAATTTTAGTTAAAGAACATTTGGAAACCCTTACCCAAATTAAATAATTGTGAGAAAACAATAACCAAATGAATCAGCAATAATGAATTTTAGTAAATATCCCAATTATTGTCAACATAAATCTCCTCAAAGGAGTCCAAATCCAAATGGGCTATGTAATGAGAAACCCAATTACCTTCTCTAAATGAGCGTCTGAAGACGAGTTTAGCAAATTTGGAACCCCTTTGTATCTCATCGGTGTAGACTTTCTATCTTCCGTTGTAAGAGACATCTTGAAGCACTGAAATCGCCCAGACCAAATCTGATTATACCTGAAACTCAACAAATCCCGGCGTTGTTGTTTTGATAGTCGCATGATGTATAGCTTTAATCGATCAGTTTCGAAGACCGAATCCATTGTGATAGAGATGCATATAGCAAAGTTCAAATCTCCAACTCTGTCGCGCAGAGTCGCTCCACCTTTCGAAGAGTCAGGTAAGAATGGTGCATCTACGTTCAAATCATATTGAATGTTAGGTCTAGACCACTTAAATATTCTATTTTTCGATTAGCGGATGCAAAACCTTCGTGAATAATGTTTTGTGACTTCAATAGCTTAAAATTTGCACTCATCTTTATCAGATCAATTTTGAGCGTATTTATGATCTGAACAATTATGGATTCCGAGTGAGGTAATACTGTAAAACTCCATACACTAAATTAGCGTATAGCTTCTATAAATGGGAAACCATGATTGCAAAGAGATTTTATCAAAAGATATCCATAAGAGACTTTTGACCAACCGTTAACCACCAATTCATCATCAATTACCGAACAAATATAGGGATGTGTAATCTATCAACCCTTAAAATACCCATAAAATGTGAGCAGATTTTCTAAACATAGGGGCAACAACAAAAAAACATGATTTATAGATTAAGATTCATTTCTACAAAAGGGGCATTGTAAGGGAAAATAACCAATCTCAATCTAAGAAGATTTTCTGAAATAGCTAGGTATCAAGTTGTGTAAGAGCTTCCCCCAAATTTTCTTTTATGCCAAATACGTTTATAGGAGAAAGTGGAAGAGCTTCTCCATCTAACATCATCAAAGGCGGAAGCATGTGACAAGTCACCTATCATGCCACGTAATCAAATCATGTTATTATCATCACTTTGTCATTTATGCATGCTACATAATTAACCTTCTCCACATTAGAGTGGGATATCTTGGAGTTCATATGAAAATCCCTAAGGTACTGGGCATGGCAGAATTTAAACCAAAATGAATCATTCTTTTTCAACATTTACTACCATTATTTAAGTGAAAAAGGTTTTTCAATGTCTGACAATAGTCGAATACCAACGCTCCTTCACTGGGAAAGCACATGTCTCTCCATTGACATGTACTTCGTATTATATAGAATTTATGCATACTTCATACTAGTTATAGTAGTGTATGAATTATTAACATTTAATATTAGTAAACACATATTGTAAAAAAAAGATTAGTGAACACATGAAAACTAAAATAGTCAAATTATTCCCTTATTTAATGTTATGATATATAGTGTCAGTGGCGGCTTTATGATTCAGATTTTGGGTGTTCATTTTTTTGTATAATTAAAACTTGAAGGAACAATAAATAGTTAAATTAAATTAAATTTATATACGTATACTAATATGTTTTTCAAAAATTTAATTGGAGGAAGAAAGTTAACAATAAAACATAACTTTCTTCACATCATCCTTCAGATCACGAATTGGCTTGCGCTCTATATTTCTCCCTGCACCGCTACCACGGCTAGCACCACTTGTTATACACCCGATGTTAGATGTTTCTAGCTCCATGTAGAATCTAGACGTAAAAGCTCATAGATGAGCATAATTTCCCGGAGGAATGATATTTATAGATTTTGGACCAAATCTAAAGGTTCCAAATTTATAAAAATTAGAATCAATCTCGTGTAATTTAAACTGAGAGCAATTTTGTGCTGATTTTGAGGTTTGATAGTTTCAACGGAAAATCTCGATATAAATGTAATGTTTTAAAACATATGATCTTGCGATGAAAATCGTCCTTTTTGAAACATATTAAAGTATTTTTTTTTACAAAACAAAGGGTGATGAATAGGATAAAAGTTGAGAAAAAAACTTTTTTACATTCATTGATTTTGGGGATGTGTACATACTACTCTAAGCACGAAACTCGACCGCTTGATGCACGCACTATTTATTTAAAAATGCTTCTTATAAATGTTAGACATATATTAGTTAGGAACTGACTTATGTATACTTATTATATACTTGCAATGCGCGTGCATGATTCACCATAAAAGTGTACTGACCGGTCGGGTACGGTGCACTTGGCCAGAAATGTATTGTCGGTGCCAATTACTTTTTGGTCGAGTTGTATGATCGGGATCTTCATCACTACGATGTGACTATTACCAAGAGGTTGCATTAAAAAAAGTTTGCAGAGATTATGGCAAAAGTCGTTGAAGAGTACAGGAGTACTCACAACCGCATATGGGAAAATGATTGGTTGCTTACGATGGGGGAAAAATATTTATACAGCAGTCGAACTGCCTTTTTCGTCCAAGGATTTTTCTGTGAAGTTGGCTGACAAGGACAAAAAGTCAAGGCCAAACAGAGAATTCAATGTGTCTATCAAACATAGTATGTACCACCACCTACAGCAGTTCATACAACTTGATACTCCGCAGGAAACTATTCAAGTTCTTGATTTTGCCTTGAGGGCAAATTTATCAACTAAATATCAGGTTGTGGGAAGATCTTTCTTTGCTTCAAGTTTTGGAGAGGGAAGATTAGATGATGGGCTGGAATACTGGAAAGGTTTTTATCGGAGTCTCTATCCATGCCAAATGGGGCTATCCTTGAATATAGATGTGTCTGCCCTACATCCTCATGAGAGAGAGAATAGCATAGCGAATGTTGTTGATGCCAGTAAATGTAACTTGGACAACATAGTTGCTGAATTCGGAATGAAATTAATGGCTTGGGTATTCCCCCCTACACCGCTACCATGGCTAGCATCACTTGTTATAGACCCGTTGTTAGATGTTTCTAACTCCATGTAGAATCTAGACGTGAAAGTTCCTAGACGAGGAATGATATTTATAGATTCTGGACCAATTAGGACCAATTAGATATTTATAAAAAATTAGAATCAATCTTATGCATTGGAATAGAATATGATATAAACCAAGAGCAATTTTGTGCGGATTTTGAGGTTTGATAGTTTCCACGGAACATCTTGATATAAATGTAATGTTTTAACACATGGAAACTTGCGATGAAAATCATTCTTTTTGGAACATATTAAAATATTTGTTTTACAAGGGTGATGAATAGGATAGAAGTTAAGAAAATTCTTTTTTAGATTCATTGATTTTGGGGACGTGTACATACTACTCTAAGCACGAAACTCGACCGCTTGATGCACGCACTATTTATTTAAAATGCTTTTTATAAATGTCAGACAGAAATTAGTTAGGAACTGAATTATATATATTTATTATATACTTGCAATGTGCGTGCATGATTCACCATAAAAGTGTACTGACTGGCCGTGTTACGATAAACTTGGCAATAAATGTATTGTCAGTGCCAATTACTTTCTGGTCGAGTTGTATGATTGGGATCTTCATCACTACGATGTGACTATTACCCTGAGGTTGCATCAAAAAAAAAGTTTGCAGATATGGCAAAAGTTGTTGAAGAGTACAGAAGTACTGACCATCGCATATGGGAAAACGAAAACGGTTCGTTGCTTACGATGGGGGAAATAGTATTTATACAGCAGCCGAACTGCCCTTTTCGTCCAAGGATTTTTCTGTGAAGTTGGCTGACAAGGACAAAAAGTGAAGGCAAGACAGAGAATTCAATGTGTCTATCAAACAAAGTATGTACCACCTGCAGAAGGTCTTACAACTTGATACTCCGCATGAAACTATTCAAGTTCTTGATGTTGCATTGAGGGCAAATTTATTAACTAAATATCAGGTTGTGAGAAGATCTTTCTTTGCTTCAAGTTTTGGAGAGGGAAGATTAGATGATGGGCTGCAATACTGGAAAGGTTTTTATCGGAGTCTCCATCCATGCCAAATGGGACTATCCTCTAATATAGATGTGTGTACCCAGCGTCCTCATGAGAGAGAGAATAGCATAGCGAAGGTTGTTGATGCCAATAAATGTAACTTGGACAACATAGTTGCTGAATTTGGAATGAAATTAACGGATCAGGTATTTCTCCCTACACCGCTACCATGGCTAACATCACTTGTCATAGACCCATTGTTAGATGTTTCTAACTCCATGTAGAATTAGACGTGAAAGCTCATAGACGAGCATAGTATCCCGGAGGAATGATATTTATATATTCTGGACCAAATTTATATATTCTAGACCAAATATAAAGATTCCAAATTTATAAAAAAAATAGAATCAATCTTATGCATTGGAATAGAATATGATATAAACCAAGAGCATTTTTGTGTGGATTTTGAGGTTTGATAGTTTCCACGGGAACTTGCGATTAAAATCATCCTTTTTGGAACATATCAAAATATTTGTTTTACAAAACAAAGGGTGATGAATATGATAGAAGTTATTAAAATTCTTTTTTAGATTCATTGATTTTGGGGACTTGTACATACTACTATAAGCACGAAACTTGACCGCTTGATGCACGCACTATTTATTTAAAAATGCTTCTCATAAATGTTAGACAGATATTAGTTAGGAACTGAATTATGTATACTTATTATATACTTGCAATGTGCGTGCATGATTCACCATAAAAGTGTATCGACCGGACGGGTTACGGTACACTTGGCCAGCAATGTATTGTCGGTGCCAATTACTTTCTGGTCGAGTTGTATGATCGAGATCTTCATCACTATGATGTGACTATTACCCATGAGGTTGCATCAAACAAAGTTTGCAGAGATTTTATGGCAAAAGTCGTTGAAGAGTATAGGAATACTCACAATCGCATATGGGAAAATGGTTGGTTGCTTACGATGGGGGAAAGAGTGTTTATACTTTTTCGTCCAAGGATTTTTCCGTGAAGTTGATTGACAAGGATAGAAAGTCAAGGCCAGACAGAGAATTCAATGTGTCTATCAAACATAGTATGTACCACCTGCAGCAGTTCTTACAACTTGATACTCTGCAGGAAACTATTCAAGTTCTTGATGTTGCCTTGAGGGCAAATCTATCAACTACATATGAGGTTGTGGAAAGATCTTTCTTTGCTTCAAGTTTCGGAGAGGGGAGATTAGATGATGGGCTGAAATACTGGAACGGTTTTTATCGGAGTCTCCATCCATGGCAAATGGGGCTATCCTTGAAATAGATGTGTCTGCCTAGCGTCCCCATGAGAGAAAGAATAGCATAGTGAAGGTTGTAGATGCCAATAAATATAACTTGGACAACGTAGTTACTGAATTCGGAATGAAATTAACGGGTGATCTTAGTGCTATTAAGGCTTGTGTTCTTCCACCACCATTGATCAAATATCATGAAAGTGGACGGGAACCCATCCTTTTGTCCTACGGTTGGACAAGGGAATATGATCAATGAGAAAACGGTTGATCCTCCAAAGGTGGATTTCTAGACGTGTGTTAACTTTTCCCGGTTTAAGGATGAAAATAGAATTTATAGAGGTAACGTAATGTTTTATGATCTTTTTTAATTGCAACGGTCCACTTTTCACGCAATATGTTACCCGGAACTTTCCCCGAAACAATAAATATAATGTGTTAACACACGGGAACTTGCGATGAAAATCTTCCTTCTTGCAACATATTAAAATATTTATTTTACATTCTTGTTTAGAAAATTCTTGTTTACATTCATTGATTTTGAGGACATCTATGTACTATTCTAAGCACGAAACTCGACCGTTTGTTGCACGCTGCACGCACTATTTATGTTAAATGGATCTTATAAATGTTAGACATATATTAGTTAGGAATTGAATTATATATACTTACTATATACTTGCAATTTGCAATAATTTACCATAAAGTGCGGTATAAATGAGTAGATGTACAATTCGCACTTTCACGCGTTAAATAGCAAATGATAAGACAAAAGAAAAGACCTGATAAGGACATTATAGAAAACGTTAGAAATAGAAAATTCAAATAATTCCATAACTAAAGCCTAGATGTTAAAATGTCACCCTAATCCAAAACTAATGGATTTTGTAGAGGGGTAAACGAACCGAATCGAGTCGAATAGTGGGATTTTGTATTTGTATTTATTTAATTTTTTCAAATACGGATCTGAATTCAAATATGAAACAAACATTAATTTCGATTTGTATTTGTTTAACAATATGAATAATTAACGAATCATATACGAATATCAAATCGATTTGAGTATAAGTTAAATATTAGTCAAATATTACTTTAAAATAGCTTTTCCTAGCTATATTTTTATGTTATAAATGCATGCTATGGCTTAATATGTGTTTTAAAATTTGATTTGTAACATTACATTTTCTTAAAAATCAATGGATGAATGCATTTTTAAACTGTGTACAATATAATAAATTGAATCAATTTTATGATTTTTAAATATACATCTATTTCAAACATTTTGAAATAAACACTAACACACATATTAGAAATTATACTTATAATGTGTGAAATAAGTTTTTTTATCATAAAAGAGAGGTCGTTATATTAAATTCGAGAACACATACAAGACAACCTTCATACAAAGTTTACAAATCCAATCACGAACCCTAGGAGTAGACTTAGAATCAATCACCTCATACAAAGCAACATGGCTCGCTAACCTGAAAGAGGAAAATTTAGGCCTAAAACTACCGGAACCGAAACCCTGCCTATCAAAAGAACTCCAAAAATTCAAACATTCAAACCAAATTTACTCGGACTAAAACATAAACAATTGCTACTAAAAAGAAAATAATATTGAAATAAAATCTTTCCACAAAGCTCTTCCTGATATGGAGGTGGTTCCGGAGGAGGACGAGCTCTTGCAATATGGATGAATACAACCTCTACCACCGTCGAAATAGTCGAGCAAGGCTTCACAAACCAGCCTCGATACAACCTCCCAGCCGCACCTTGTTCATTCGTCAACGCTATCTCCTCCGACGTAGTTGCAATCAAACATTAGAACACTTAAAATCATAATCTGCCGCTCTAAACCCATATTGATAGGGGCTGCGGAAAATCTCAACCCCTACAAAGAGGGGAGACGGCCGCTAGGGTTTCTCTCTAGAGAGATGAGAGAGTTGTTATAATGTGCGAAATAAGTTGATAATTGTATATACTTATTAGAAATTATATTTATAATGTTGCTAATAAAAAACCATTAGATATACAGAATATAATTTAAACTATACACGCACCCATATAGTGGATAGTAGATGCACACGCATGCATATTAGGTTGTTGAATTTGTATATGTATAAACCAATATATTTGATTGTTCTTTGAATTGAATCCATTATTATTTGTATTTGTATTTGAAAGATATTTGAATAAAAAAGGTGATTAGTATTTATATTATATACTTTCAAATTTATATCATAATTTTTGAATTCAAATATGGAATCGAATTAAAAATTATTTGCGTATGATACTTCTGATTCATTTCAAATAGGCTTAGAATTTTATACGTAAATGTATATATGGGCTACACTTTGCGGATATAGCTACTTTTTAATAATTGCTCCGTATTATAATGTTATCACTATTATTAATATTAATATTATTATTATTATTATTATTATTATCACTATTATTTATCCAATATATTTGATTAACATTCGAATTGAATACATTGATATTCTTATTTGTATTTAATAACAATTCGAATCAAATTTAGTATTCTTCTTTGTATTTGAATTTTTCAAATTCGAATAGGCTTATACGAATTCAAATCGCGAATCTAGCATAAATTATTTGATTCGTTTACGACCCTACTCAGAGGTCAGTGAGGGTCTCTTTATCCAACTTGACGGTCATGAAGTCAAATAGGCATTTGACTGTGGATGTCTAGAAGGATGGGAGGGGTAAAATAGACATTTGAAAAATAAGTATTTATTAAACTTATTGTACGGTGAGCACCATACCGCCCGGTAAATTTGTAATTCCCATCAACTTCAGCCCCTTTAATCCTTTGGTCTCCAGGTAAATTTCTTTCTTTTCCGCTTAAATCCTTCATTGCGGATCCTTTGCTTCTTTCTTGTTTCTCAGTTATTCTTCCGTTCCATTGCTTTCTGCTTGTGTCTTTTTCATTTTTTCATCAACAACATTTGCTTTCCTACTTCTTTCTTTCTCTTATTATTACGTGTCATTGCTTTACTGTTTCTTCTTTTTTCCTTTTTTGCTTTAACAACTTTTACTTTTTCCAATCAGCCTCTAACTTTATTTTTTTAAATTTGTGCATTATAAAATATTTTAGTTATTAATTTTTATTTTACCTTTTTTAAATTTTAAGATGAATATTTATTAATTTCTCAATTATGGTGTTCTAATTACTATTATGAGTTTTGTGTTATACTAAAATGAGTATAATGCAAAATAAATCTGCATGAGTAAATCTTATAAGAAGAACATGATTTTATGTTTGGTGTTCTAATTACTATTATGAGTTTTGTGTTATACTAAAATCAGCATAATGTAAAATAAATGTGCATGAGTAAATATTATAAGAAGAACATGATTGTATATTTAATTCAAGAAAGAAAAACTATAAATATTTTTAATATAAAAATTATTATATATCTCATTGTTATATATAATGATAATTTAGTAAATTGTTAATTATATATCTCATTGTTAATTATAGAAAGGAATAATATAATGATTAAAACAAATGAGCATACACAAATGAAAATTTGAACATATTAGAGAATTCAAATGAGCTATTGAATTTTGCGATGCTCATTTTGTAAGATGCATATGCTGATCTGGTATTGGTATGAGCATCAGACTTATTATGTTGAGTATTATGAGGCTAATATCGAGCATCATGATCTCTGCTTAATATTTTCTAATTCACTTTGTTTTTCTTATTTTTTTATTATAAAAAAAATCTAAATGATATCTATAATCAACTCTTAAGATTGTAATCTAAAGTAATATAATACATTTGAAATAAGCATTGATGTGACATTTTAATTTAAAAAAAAATGTGACATTTTAAAATAAGCATAACATCAATATCAAATAAGCATACGTAGCTTACAAGATGAGCATTAATATGAAAATAATAAGCTTTATTAGTTGAGCATTTTCATTAAGCATCAAATATCTTTTATTGAGTATTAGAACCATGCAATTGAGTATCATGATCTTTACTTTCATGTCTATAATAGACTCTCATGCGAATCTAATGTAATATGATAATTTGAAATATGCATTCATATGACATTTTAAAATGAGCATAAAATCAATACTAGATGAGCATACAAAACTTACAAAATGAGCATACAAAAATTCAAAAGCGCATTGAATTATCTAATGTGTTCAAATATTTATTCGTGTATGCTCATTTCTTTTAATCGTTATGCTCATTCGAATATAAGATAACTATTTTCTATAATATGTACATCTAGTAGATTCGTTATTAAAATTTGTGCATGCACATTTTATTTTACACTGTACATTTTGTTTTGCCAAAACAAAACACAAAACTCATGTTATTAATTAACACACAATATTTAATTAATTCATAAATATTCATCTAAAAATTAAGAATAAAAAAAATTAATACCTAGAATATTTTATAATACACAAATTAAAAAAACTTAAATTAGAAGCTTGATTGGAAAAAGAAAAAATAACACACTCCAACAATAAATAATATTTTATATTATACAATTTCATAATAATTGAATAAAGACCTAGAGCAAAAAGGTTGTTAAATAAAAAATATATAAAAAGAAAGAAAGAGAACAACAACTAACAAGCAAAAGTAACTTAAAAACAAAACAAAACGAAAAAGAAAAAAACACAAAGAGATGGAGAAGCAGAACCCACGAGAAGGCTAAGGAGCAACTTAATAATTAGGCGGTAAGTTGGAACTAATTACAAAAATGTCGACTGTACCATATAAGGATGTTTTCTTTTGGGCTATTTTTGATTCTAGACCAAACCAAATCAGATCAGACCAGATTTCCTTAAATATAAAATATACGTAGTACAACGTTAGTTAGTCGGACCAGCCCATCAAATTTGATCCAAAAAAACATCCAAATTTACCGCACTTGGTCGAGTCGCACGGAGTCAAGGTCGCAGTCTGCCAGTTGCAGCCCCGCACGCGGCACGCGGCACCCGCCTTACGCCGCCGCATCCCCTGACGCGGCACGCCGCAACCGCCTCACGCCTCCCTGTGCCTGCCGCCGCTGCGTGGTAGTCTGCTTCTCACTTCTAACCGCCCCAGACCCCAGGCAAGTCATAACTCATAAGTGTTTATTCTTTATTTTTTTCATTTATGTAGCTAATAGCTTGAAATCTTGATTCTTGAGATTGAGTGTGTGGCGGTATTATACAAATTTTTAAGAATGTAAAATGTGAGTTTCTTCTACTATTGGTGAATAATTTGGGTAATTTTGTGATTTCATTTGTGAAATTGAAAATTTGGATTGTGATTTTTTAACATATTAATATGAAGTTATGGACTAGTGCTGTACCAGGGCGATGCATGAGAACTTGTTAATAAATTAGTGATGCATACATCACATATGATAAGATTTACTAACAAAATACACACCTGGTAATGTAATAAAAGATACTGTAAAGTTTAAGCCCTAGCAAAAGGGGAAAAAAGCTGAACAACTACAACACTTGCTAAACTTATAGACTTATTATTTATAGTAGAACGTTTAAAGAAAGATGAGCGGACACCGTCCAAGAGGTGACAGAGGAGGATGCCTCTCAGTGGCGCAAAAGGCGAGGTATAGGATGCGCCTGTTAAACCAAGATGTGTGTGGTGTATTTCTTCCGCATTACATTCTAAATCTATCCAATTATAGATTTTAGTTCCCTAATGTTAAAGAATAGCTACAATGTTTCGAAAGCATATCTGCTTTAATATGTGTACATAGTTTTTCTTAATAATTTTTAGGAAACCAAAGTTTCTTGTATGGGTTATTAACTTCAATATGCTTAGAAATGCTTCCTTGAATTTAAATTTCATCTGTTTCATGAACTTTGTACAACTTGTGATGCCAAATAATAGTGATATTAATGCCCTGCACTACGATATTTTATCAATGATATGTATATCATATTTTCCCAGTATATTCAGCATATTCAAAAAATACAGACAAATATATTCATTTAGCCAAAAATAGTTGTAGAATATCTATTGGATAGTGAAGTTGTATGCCTTGACCACCAATTAAAGATTTAAATGGTTAAATAACCAAAATAGTACCAAAAGTCATCCAAATCAAACCAACTCAAGATCCATAACCAGTTCATGTCTTAAAAAACTGAATTTAAAGTTTGATCATTAGATAAGAGAGGAACTTCTTCCTCATTCATTTCACTATCAGAAGGATCTTGTATTGTATCCATCTCATCTTCATCACGTAACTGATGCAGTGTTGATGTTGATGTTGATGATGATGTCAATGCTCTAGTGTTGTGAATTGTTTCATTAACGTCAACTGCTTCTTCCACAACATCCCAATTCGTCTTTCTAAATTCTAATGGTAATCAAGTGTTTTGGTTCGATCCAACCAAATGCTAGTTACCACTTACCAGTATTTGTCACAATCCTTTGCTCCATGTGGTAAGGCATATGTATTCGTTTGTATATCTAGAACCTCTAATTAATATATTAGGAAAGTTGGATTGTATAGCACGAGTTGTTTGAACCCTTACATTCCTTTAATGGGGATAAGTTTCAAAAAGTTTAATTCGAAGAATTTGCTATTGGGAAACCCCACAATAGCAATATTTCCATAATTAATTTTGTGTCGTACCCTTGCCGTACTTTTTCTTTATCAGTAATTACATTCTTATCATTCTTACATTTTCTTTATTCAGCTTTATTGAAAGATTGGGGTAAACAAAATGCATTAATATATAGATATTACATAGATGTCGAAATCATGTCTTGGAATGTAGCTTAGAATAAGGTTTTTCTGATACTACGTATGAAATTAGCCCAAGCTGTTGTGTTCATTGCTTAAGCATTATGGAATTTGATCTTAATATACTCTTATGCCACATTAAACTCTGTTGCTTCACAAAAGATCAACATAGTAGCAATAGTAAGCCAATATGTTAGTTTGTGTTTTATATTCTGCGACGGAGTTTGTCTTAAATCTTAATGAAATGTAATGCAATGTAATAAAATGATTTTCATTTTATTATAATGTTTTCAAACCAGAGGCAATCATGGCACTTTGTGGGGAAGAGGTCATTTCTTTTATGGAACTAGCTCTTCAACAAGCTAAGCTTGCGTTAGACAGCCTTGAAGTGCCGGTAGGTTGCATCATTGTTGAGGATGGTGAGGTCATTGCTTCGGGAAGGAACCGAACCACAGAGACTAGAAATGGCACTAGACATGCTGAGATGGAAGCCATTGATCATCTACTTGAGAAATGGAAGAAAAGTGGAGTTTCACCGGGTGAAGTTTATGAAAGATTTTCAAAATGTGTGCTTTACGTAACATGTGAACCATGTATAATGTGTGCAGCGGCCCTGTCTTACCTTGGCATTAAAAAAACTGTTTATGGATGCTCAAACGATAAATTTGGTGGTTGTGGATCAATATTGTCATTGCATGCCGGGGTTGGAGCTGCAAATAAGGGCTTTGAATGTGTTGGAGGTGTGATGGCATCTGAAGCAATATCTCTTCTGCGCAGCTTCTATGAACAGGGAAATCCAAACGCGCCCAAACCTCACAGACCGCTGAAACAAATGAACACATGATATGAAGCCTTTAGGCTGAGGAGGATTATCCGCCCCCTTCTATAGAAATTGTAATGAGTTCCTGATGGTTTCTTTCACTTGATCTTGAAAAGGCAATTATTCTCTTACCTCTGTTTTAAATATCCACATTATTAGACAACAAATATCCTATTACTTTCATTTGAGGCAATTGCTGTTTCTGAGTGCCGTATGATTAGATTTCGGGCACACTTGTCAATATAATTTGAAGAGGTAGTACAAAATTTGAAGAGGTAGTACAAAGTAGTGGTTAGACCATTAGACTGTTAGAGAAACTATAGATGTTTCCTAGTAGTACTTAAGTACTTTCATCTGAAATTGGGCGTCTTTAATTTGGAGTAGCAGTAAATATCCTGGTAAGATCGGATAAGAGTGAGTTCCTTCGGGGACATCCAATAAAATTGAAACGATACAGAGAAGATTAACATGACCCTACACAAGTATGACATGCACCTCGAGAAATGGTGATCAGATAAAAGTGATTCATATTTTAACACAAGTGTTTGTTTTGCTTTGTTTTTTTTATTTGTTGTCATATATTAGAGTATAATACATGCATATGCAGATTAAAGTTATAAGTCGTTCACATCTTCATGGTTTTTGACGAATATTTTTGTTAAGGCTCAACAATGGTGGATTCATCGGTCTTAAAACAATCTTCTGCCTATGAACCTCAACTTACTCAACACATGGTATGAGACTTGACACGTTTCTTCAGACTGAAGCTTAGTTTAGACAAGTCTAGTCATCTACTTCATTACGAAAATGCATCTATGACAAATGGTAGTGACGTAGTGATCCTAGTGGACCACATTCCCACGCTTAAGATTCTCCCATGTTGGAGGTCTTGAGTTTAAGTTACCAAGGTGAATATGGGACGATTTATAGAAATTATAATCGTCTAACTCTTGGAGTTAGCTTGACTAGTTGCGTGATAAATGCTAGTCCAACAATCAGTGGCAATTCTCTCAAAAGTAGTGTTGGACCCGGTTCGGGCCACCCGGCCCAGGAACCGGCCCAGCCTGGAATTGTGCGGGCTCGGTGTACTGGTTTCCAATCCGGGCCTAGACCCGGTCCCGGGGGTTAGGACAGGGCGGTCCCGGTTCAGCCCCTTCTTTGGAACCGGCCCAGGCGGGCCCAGGCGGGCCCAGGCCCGGTTCGGGCCTTAATAATATTTTTTTTTTGTTTTTTCATTGTTTTGGGCTTGTTCCTGAGTTGAGCTGAGTGTTTGGGGGGGGGGGGGGGGGGTTAATAAGGAAAGAAAAAAAACACTTTTGGAACCGGCCCGGACCCGACCCGGCCCGGACCCAGTGGTAACCCGGGCAGCGCCGGGCTGGTCCCGGGCCTTCTACCGAAAATTAAAATCCCGACCGGGCTTAGGCCCGACCCGGCTCGAGTCCATGACTACTCAAAAGTTGTGCTAGAAATTTGAGGATACCTTAAGTCAATCACTTATGAGAGATTTTTTTATGTGTGATAATGTAAAGATAGGCATTGGGAATCTAAAGGATTGTTCGAGCGACTTTCCAGATTTGTCGCCCAAGATTAGTCTGGCGAGGACAGAATCACTGGGTGTTAACAACAAATGAAAATACAACTATGAAAATGTCTAAGTTGCAATCATTTTGGCTTTGTGTTAATATTTCATTCCAGGCCAAGATTGGAATCAGATACAGGGAAATGTACCAGCAAATTGCAAATTAAAGGGGTTCATTCCTTTGAAGGTGAAATTATTTCTTTCAAAATGAAGCTACAATCTATGAAGCACGGATACTTCGCTAGGGTAGCGTATCGGCGTATCCGATACGTTCCCGTATCCGATACTCTAGGATACCCGTACCGTACGTTCCCGGGTCGTATCTGTAATTTTTAAAAGTTTCCATTTTTTTTTTTGTAATTTTTTGAAAGTTTCCGATACTCGTATCCTGAAGGATACCCGTATCAACTTAAAAAAAAACCCTAAAATTTACTTAATAAAATTCTTAAAAAAATGAAAATCTAAAACTACATTTTACTTGGTAATTAATCAAATAATGGGCCTATATGGCTATATCCGAATTAAGTCATTAACTCATACTCCGAATTGGATACTTGCACTTTTAATTTCAAGATTGTAGTTGTTTGACTTATTTCTCATTTTAAATTAATGACTTATTGACTACATTTATATTTCGAGATGCACTAGTGTATATGAGAAATATTATGAATTTATTACTAAGTATCTTGAAAAAGGAAAATGCTTCAATGCAATGAATGTGTAGATATCATAGGATATTATATGTATATATATGTATATATATATATTCAAAAAAAATCTATTTTTAATATTTATAAATAGACCCCTATAACTTTTAATATTTGTAAATACACCCCCATAACTTTTAATATTTATAAATATGGCCCCGTATCCGTATCCAACTTTTTTTTGTTTTGACGTATCCCCGTACCCGTTTCCGCGTTTCCGCGTACCGGTATCGGTGCTACATAGGCTACAATGGTTCATTTTATTTATTCATTAGAACACCTAACTCAAGTAACATTTCACGAACATATATTCAGAGTCCATACCAATTAATGAACTTCGCTGTAACTTTCTGTTATGTGTGACGATGTACATTGTCTGGTTCACTTTGTATATTATCTTATTCATTACATAGTATGATAGTAGCAGCGGATCACTCCATCCTTTGGCATCTTTCACCTTGCTAACGGCTCTTTAGCCCTCGTCTTCGCATAAAAATTGCTCGAATTTTTAATATTGTGTCTGGCTTTAATTGAGATACTTTTCCATTAACATTGACCCATATTTGTTTGATGATCACAGACATTTGCTCATCGGATATCTCCCTAACATTTGTTTTTCCTTGCCCCCAAGGCATTTATATACATTCTTAAGATAAACATGGTGTTTTTTTTAAATGAAATAAACATGGTGTTTTTAGACCCTCAAAATAGGCATGTACAAGTTTATATTATCGTGAAAATAATACACATTCAACTAGTAAAGAGTATTCTGTCAAAAAAAAACTAGTAAAGAGTATTTTCACCTCTCCTTTCAAAAGAGTATTTTTTTCTACATTGAATACAAAATAACTAAAACTTTGCAATGGAGCAAACATTCACTATTTTTTGGCTTAGGAATAATGGAAAATGATGGAATAAAGTAAAATGGCTCACTAAACTGTCTGCAATTTTAGACGTAATTTCCACTATGGGTCATCTGGAACCGTCTATGTAGCACCGATACGGTACGCGGAAACGGGTACGGAGATACGACAAAACCAAAAAAAAAAGTACGATACGGATACGGGGCCATATTTATAAATATTAAAAGTTATGTGGGGTGTATTTATAAATATTCAAAGTTACAGAGGTGTATTTATAAATATTAAAAATAGATTTTTTTTGGAAAAAATAGACTATATGATCCTCTGACGTCTACTCATTCATGGCATTGAAGCATTCTACATTTCCAAAATACTTAGAAATAAGTTCATATTTCATCTCACATAGTGCACCTCGAATTATAAATATAGTAAATAAGTCATTGATTTAAAATGAGAAATAAGTTAAACAACGACAAATTTGAAATTAAAAGTGCAAGTACTCCAAGTTCTAGAATAATGAAGATAGAAAACAATATTTTAAAAGTTGCAATACATATTTCCGTTTGAGGTATTAATTTCCAGAGATAATTAGAATTCGGGATAGGAAAATGGGTAACATAGGAATATGCCCATTAGTTATGTATCACATAAAAGCAAGGTAAAAATTATTTTTAGTTTTTCATTTTTTAAGAATTTTATTATGTAAATTTTGAGTGTTTTTTTAAAAAGTTTTTTTGAAAGATTTTTTTTTTTAAAAAAAAATTTATACGGGTATCCGTCAGGATACAAGTATCCAAAATTTTAAAATAATTACCAAAACATGAAAACTTTTAAAAATTGCAGATACGGCCCATGAACATACGGTACGAGTATCCTAGAGTATCGGATACGGGAATGTTTCCGATACGGCACCCTAGTGAAGTATCAGTGCTTCATAGGGAACCGTCTCTTTGTGTAGTAGTACAGGGGTAAAAATGCATACATCCGACCTCCTTTACCCCACCATAAGTGGAAGCCTTTGCGGCACTGGAGTAATGATGATGAACGATGAATAAAAAAATAACTAAAACATGCCGCCATAAAAGGTCGTGAAAAAAAGGGAGTTTATTGATTGAGTTTTGTTCACTCTGTACACGGACACTCAGCACATCGTCGAAGATGGTTTTATACTCTAAAAATGAGTTAATAAAGTTATCAACGAATTGGAAGCAATTTCTTTTGTTTCGTATTTTTCTTTGTTTTGATAGGGGGGAGGGTATCGTTTTATTTATTCCTAGTGTTACATGAGAAGTTGAGAACACATGTATGGATGAGAGGGCCACATGGTATTTGGAGTTTCATGATTGCAAAATATCACCAACTCACAAAGTACAAGTCAAGAACACCAGTTTGAAATAAAGTCAATCACAAAACTATTGTTATGTTACTCAAAAATAAAGTTGGTTTCATACACCTATGGCATCAATGGCTGCTTCCGCCATCGGCCATCGGCCATCCTACCTCTACTCTGGAAGTCATTTTCTTTTTTAATTTATATAATTTTTTTCCAATTTCATAGACATGGTATGTAGGTATGTTTATGATGTTACTCACTGCGTAGTCAAAATTAGAGCAATGTACTCAATTTTATGGTTTCTAACACTAATAGTAGCTAGATAGTTAGTAGATGATGATGATGATGATGATGATGATGATGATGCCCCTTCACTTTGATTTGCAAAGACAGGGAGAATACAACTAACCCATACTCAGATTGAAGCTAAGATATCTTTGTATGTGCACAAAAAAGAGAAGCTTCGTTCTTGACGAACTAAAGAATGTGTTAATAGCTGTAGAGCATGAAACAGAGGATCCATCTTGGAGAGCAGTGTCATGTTTCCTACACTGGCTCCTTTCCTTCTCCACATTCAACGCAAGCACATAAAGCCTTCCAAATAGGAACCAAAATTTTTGCAGAAGGCCGTAACACCTATAGATTGAATTTAAAAAACTGTGTAAAATTATTATGGGTATAAGGGTGTAGTGCCTGTTTGGTATTGGGACTTTTACTGCTTATAACAGTTTCTATGGAACAATAAATGTACACACTGTCCCCAAAAGGAAAAGAGTTCCAGGCATGTTTTTATCCCCAAAAACTTGTCATATCAAGCAACCAAAAGGAGAAAATTTGCATTAAATTTTATGTAGCCCCACCCCCCATGTTTGAAACAAGTAAATATGTAGTATGCTAAATTTAGTGTTCCTTCAAAAAAAGGTTACATTGAGTTGAAAAATATAAAATGTTAACGAAACCCTTCTACTTTTTCAAATTCATCAGTTATGCCCACATGCTAAAAAAAGTCATATAAGCTTACTTGGAAAACAATCATCCCGTCATTTCAAGATTTATCAATTTTCTTAATTTTTTTCAAAAGGCGACCTGCTATGGTAGATCAATAACTAGTAAAATGAATGGATTGATTATTTTTCATAGTAAATGTGCTTATGTAATACTCCATCTTTAGTACGGAAGCATTTTAGTAAATGTGCTCATGTAATGCTCCGTACTTCCTTAGTACAAAAGCACTTTAGTATAGAAACATAAGTGATGGATTTGAAATTGTAGAATGGTCTACTTGACCTTTTCCCAAAAACTGGTGACTCTTGGATTAACAAGGGTTATTCCTTGACCAAAATTAAAAAGTCTGACTTTGACGAAGACAGGATCTTTTTGTGGAGAGGGAATTATACAAAGGTTATTTTTTCTCTGAACAGTTAAAAGAAGATACTTAACCGTTTCATCAGCCCAACTTTACTCTTACCAAACAGACTCTAATTTGCTACAATAGTAAGGATGTGCAAAGGATGAGAAATGCTTAACCTTGAAAACTAAAAGAAGATCCTCTTCTCCATGAATAATCAGAGAGAGGGTCCAGTAACAAGTAATGGGGGTCACACATTCATTCAGCACAGGTTTCAAGATCTTGCAAGTAGGAACAAAGCGTCGAACGATTCTCCCGCTGTTGTAGAAGTACCAGATGAGCAATACGGTATGAAACTATGAACCCATAATACCTTAACACAAAAAGAGGTGGGGGGTTATGTATGGCAGAGCCTTTAAGTACCTTTGGTACTGAGTCTCAATCTGAACTCCAAAAGCAGGAAAAATTATCACAGACTCTGTGACGCACAAACCAAAAAAGTAAGTGACAAAACACATGAGAAGAAAAGTACTCCTCCCATTTAAAAAAAAGTCGGTTTCATCAAGGTACAAGTTTTTATTCCATACATAAAAAATATGGCAACCAAAGTAGTTAAATGAAAATATGGGATCTTAAAGGGAATATCAAAGCAATAAACCATTGACCAAGAAATCATGTATTCGTCGAATGTTGCTATTTTCTCCTAAGTTGTGAAACACCCCTTGAGGCCTTGATGGGAAAAAACATCAAAGAGCTGTGCATTAAATGCACAGCCAATACATTACCATTGGAATTTCTTATGTAAAAAAAATCTACTTCCCGGGCAATAACATAACAATTTGCTATTACGCTTTATAACTATACACATACTACAGCATTTCTATAATTTTAAGTAAATTTAGCTTTTAAAAGTCATCATTATCAATCTTAATGTATACTTGAACTCTGATATCGTATGACGGTTTCCCAAACTCTATTGGGAATAAGGCTTGGATGATGTTGTAGTCGTAGTAGATGTATTGGTTACTTTAACTAAAATCTCATTTTTAATTTGTTCTGGACCCCTTTTTGGTAATGAATTACAAGATAATTAGCTATGCTTTGAAACATACTCTCTTTTCTTGACGATCATCCTCAAACCAAAAAACAGATACTGTAATCAAAGATTTATCTCCTCACCTCTGACAACTAGCTTTCGATAAATCCAGATGAGCGATGCCACAACAAGAAAGCTGTAAAGAAGAGCAGCACTAGACCTGACCTGCTATCTCGCACACATAATCACTCTGTAATCACGACCCTTTACTCAATTGAAGCAAATGAGGTGAAATGTCCAAAGATCTAAATCTACAGCTTTAAGATGCCTATGTATCATAGTTATGAACAGTCACAGAAATACAAATTTAATATGGCACAATAATGCTCCCATTGCCCTTTGGTAGCCAATGTGGTTTACTCTGCTTACGAGCAGAATAAGTAGCTTTTGACTTGCACTTTAATTTGGCATGATGTTAACAGAGACTTTTCTTTTCAGAGAGCACAACAGATTTATCCACTTTAGCAGAATAATTCTTAACAGGCCCTGAATACTTGATATGGATATACTAGATAAATACATTATACCAGCACAATTAATAATGAACTAACCACTTAATCTCAAATGATCATCAAATAGGAACAGTAAATCCTTGAATATAAAGCGAGTATATACCAGTACAAATAGAGAGCAGATGTAGGCTGAGAGGAGGAGAAATGTGAGTAAAATTGAAGCATTGGGTAAAGCATTTCTTGGAAGCATGACATGGTGGACATCTATGGCTTCAGTGGGCCCTTTACCAACATCATGTACATAATTGTATCTCCCAATCGTAATACTGCTACTCCTTCCTCCTCCCATTTTCTCTGCAAATTGACAAAGGTTAGGGTTATTAAACATTGACTACTCCAAAGCAGTGTTATGGTGAAATTAATTGAATTTCACCAAAACTAAACTAATAGTGCGCAATTAATTTACTCTCACCATTTACGCTCGCTCATGTGACCAGCTTACCCGTGTACTTATATTAATAGTACGCGTGTTATAATAATTTCATACCGCCTACAAAAGAACTTCCACAACAAATCCTCATTCAGTCATTTATTTATAAAAGATGTTGATTAGGTTAAAGAACATGGTGTAAAATGTTTTTACTCCGTATTTGTTTTGAATTACAATTATCTTTTCTGAAGTTATAATTTTTGAGTAAGGGGTGTTTGGATCTGATTCTCAAAACTGATTCTGCTCCTTCAGAGAGTAGAAGCAGAAGCTGGAGTGTTTGGGTGATATTCCAGAAGCACTTCTGGAGCTCTAATTTACTCTCAGAATCAGTTTTTTTAGAAGCTGGGGGTACCAGCTTCTGAAAACTGATTCTGATTCTGCTTCTGCTTTTAAAAAAGAAGCAGAAGCAGAATCAGTTCCAAACACCCCCTAAATGAACAAACTCTGAGAAGCAATAGAGTTATTGGAGGTTTAGTGGATGGCTTAAATCCCTACTAGGATGAGTGAGAAATTCTGTTGTAGATTCAAGTAGATTTCTTTGTTAATTGTGATACTCATTGTTTTTTCATCAAACCTTTCCAATACTTTAATTGTGTTAAAAATTGAACATAAATTACTATGATTTCATTAGTACTTTAGTAATTAATTACATTTTTGTAAACCGTCTCTATTTTGATGATATTTATTATGTAATTATTTCTACTTATTTTCAGCCCATTTGAACCCAAGTATGAAATTTAATAAAATAGATGAGACAATATTTAGCTTAGAAACCAACCTAGCCCAATTTCGACCCAGCCCAACTTATTCCATCTAATTCGTCCAGCCCATTTATTCGTACTAAATACAGTATACCCATAGCTGATGTTCAAAAAGCCTTCTCTCTTAAGCTCTGGTGGAAATGGAGGACTCAAGAATCACTCTGGTGTGACTTTATTAAAGCGAGAACTCAATGCCTTGTTAACTGCGACTGAATTGGCGATGAACTATGGTATGCGAGATGTTCAGGTGGAGACTGATGCCACTAGGTCGTTGGATATCATTTGGGAGGATTCCGGAAAGTATACTGGTGTTCGAAGTTTCAGAAGCAATGCATATGGGCTGGGCTATTCTTTTAATCATGTGTTCAGAGAAGGTAATACAACAGCACATTGTCTTGCTAGCCAGAGGAATGCAACGGCCCAAATTGTTCTTTTTGATCGGGTTTGTCACCTTCCGATAATGGTCAAGAGAAGTTATTTTGCGGATCTTTTTGATCTTCCTCATCTTCGGTTCTGATTTCTTTCTGATATTTTGTTGGGTCCGGTTTGGTTCCTTCAATTATCTATGTTCTTCCCTTCTTCGGTTGATTGTATTATTTTAATTTTCCTTTTGGGAGAGGTATTGGTATAGTCCCCCTCCTCCCTTGTTTTTTCTTTTTATTTTTACTAATAATACATCGGTAAATGTCCCCCGGCATTTACCCCACTGATTTTGGTGGTTTGCTTTTCCGGGATAAAAAAAATCAACAATAATGACATTTCTAACTAATAATGGTAAATTACAATTATTGTCGAACTAAATTCCTCCGAGGAGTCCAAATCTAAATGGGCATCTGAAGACGAGCTAAGCATATTTGGAAACCCTTCGTATCTTATCAGCGTAGACTTTCCATCTCCCATTATAACTTGCATCTTGAAGTGCCGAAATCTCCATGACCAAATCTGATTCCGCATGAAACTCAACAATACCCCGCATTGTTACTTTGATGGTCGCATGATGTATAGCTTTAATATAATATCAGCTTCAAAGACCGAATCCGTTGTGATAGACAAGCATATAGCGAAGTTCAAATCTCCAGCTCTGTTGCGCAGAGTCGCTCCCCCTTTTGAAGAGTCGGGTAAGAATGGCGCATCTACGTTCAACCAATATTGAATGTTTGGTCTAGACCACTTAATTATTTTGATTTTTGGATTAGCGGATGCAAAACCTTCGTGAATAATGTTTTCTAACTTCAATAGCTCAAAGCAGCAGACAATGTTTTCCACACAAATGTTTTTCCTGTACCTCCGTAACCATATACAAAGAAAACCCCGCCTTTGTTTTCGTGAACTGATTCCATAATCGTTGTGTACACGTGACGTTGCTGATCATTCAGACTATCAATGCATTTCGCATGCCCTTGACATAACGCATCACGATCATTTGGCACGTTTCTGAGTCATGGATGATTGACTTATATTAGGGAATGACATTGATGGATAGTCCTTTAAGCTCCTGCCATTCCTCTTCAAACTCAGCTCTATTTCTATAAGTGCATAATTCTTAATCTCATCCTCTGTTAACATTAAATCAAAAATAAAGGATTGAAAAACAACATCAGCATAAGAAAGATATGTATATTATTATTATTCAAAGGAATTTGAATCATGAAAAGCATAGTAGTATTGTTTTGTACCGGGATGGAGTAATGTTGTTCTCTGCATGTGTAAAATGTCATCTGAGATGAATGTCCAACATTTTTCCCAAACGTATGTTGGTCTACTCATCGTATCTGCTATCAATAATATGACAAACAACTTTCTGAGCACCCATGCTGAAGCCCAAAAACTCCCCTCAGAAATTCCTTCAACGTACTCTTTTTCATCATCTAACAATCACATTGTGTAACATGCCTCACGATATGTCTCATAACAAATCCCATCCACAATTCTTAGATCATCATAACATGTAGGCCCACGCTTCAAATTTAGGACACAACGTAAATAATAAAATTCCACTGAACCTGGAGGGACATAAGTTAGTCGACCTATAGCAAAACCCTTTTTGCAAGGTACACATTCTCTTGTTGTAGCCTTCCAAACAAACCTTTGAGGAAATTCAGCATAAGTTAAATCCCCTGCCTCCTTTGGGTACTGCTCATTCGTCCTCATCCATGTCCAAAACATACTCACTTACCGATGCATTGTCTTCAAAGTAAACATATTGCTCGTCGGGAAAGTGAAAGCTCAATCGTTCAACAGATGTATTGTTATATTGAATCTCGAACCCTAGTATTCTCCACATAGCCTCACATGGAGATATATACCTACAATCATAGTAGAGTTTTATTTCATCCCTGGGTTTCTCGTTGTCATCTGTATTTGAAGTTTCATAAAATCCTGTTGTCACGCGATCATGTCAAAATAAGTTTCATAAAATCCCGCTGTATATATACACGATCATGGATTGATTAAAGATCTCGTTGGTACTTTTTCACCATATACCTTGCTCCTTCAACAAATGTAGGTGGTAAAACAACTCTTTCCTTGTGTAGAAGCATCTGGCTCACCACTAAGCAAAGCATCAGAAAGCCCTTAGTACATTTCACACATCAATTGTATTTTATGTGTTCCGATGTACATTAGTCTTGAAGATTCAACCATTTTATATCCATCAACGACAAATTGTTGGAATAACCTTCTGCCCTGGAGGATGAAAATGCATTCCGTGCTTCGCTCATGCAATCTATATGCCGAAAATTCTTTAATGCTAACACTTCGGCGACCCTTTCTAGAAGAACTATTACCGTCACAAAAAATTAATATCCTCCCTATAACCATCTTCACCGGATGGAAAGAGAAGTGGATATTACAACCCCAAATATGTAGGATTCAACTCATTTATATGCTTTAGAAAACCTCCCTGGGTTTCAAGCATTATATCTCTTTGCCTGAGTGATTCATCAAAATCTCCCACAACCAAAGCTACTACTTCTGAATAGTTGGTAGATTATAAGTTCTGACATCTTTGTTTCTTCTATCTATTAGCTTTAAACTCGCTTTTGCCTCGCCACCTTCAGCAATCTTGTCTCTAAGCATCCTAAATGACTTGACCAAAACATTATGTTCATCTAGCATTCCCCTTAAAGTAGACACGATCCCTGTGTGCATTTTTTTTGCTATCGCCTTTCACAGAAGTCATGCAGTTAAGATCCTCGTGTTGTGTGTCATATATATATAGTTGGGAAAATTTTGGCACACTTCCTTCTTGTGGCAACAAAGATCCTATTAGATGATAATTTTGACCACCAAGTTTAAAAATTGGCGGTGACCCACCCCTGTTAACCGTGTTATCTATCCTCCCACCCATCGACGTGAATGCAGAGTCGTGCCTACTGTGAGGCAGATGAGGCACTTGCCTCAGGGCCCATGAAAATGTTAAAATTTTAGGGCCCAAAATTCTAGATATTTCTATAGTATATGTGTGTATTTAATTTACATATTGGCTTCCTTTGCCCTTTGTCCGCTCTTGACCTGCTGCGCTTGAAAAAGGAAAACCCCAAATCCCCAAATCCCCAATTACCAATGAAGACGGCAATTTTAGAAGTGTAACCCCCATGAGCTCATAGACGGCACAATCAACACATGGAAGAAAAAGGGGGTTAAGGAGATTTTCTATTCCCTTGTTCCAGCCTTAACTAATCAATCAACAACAGAGCAAAAGTGAATATTAAGTGTCAAGTTTAATCTTTTATCTCTTTTGCGGGGAAATGCATTTTTATTTTCTGAAATAGTCACCAAATTGAAATGTCAGACCCGTATTTCAGAGATTATAAATGTCACCCCTCAATTGTCCAAATTGATGTAAATGTGGTCCTTAAAATGGTGAAATGTACTAAGTGGGCTATGAGTACATTTGATTCCTCAAAGGGCTACATTTACAGCAATTTGGACAATTCATGAGTGACTTTTACAATCTCGGAAATATGGGTCTGACATTTCAATATGGTGACTATTTCAGAGACTAAAAGTGCGACTTTCCCTCTTTTTTCTTAGCTTCTAATTTTCTAATATTTTTATATTTAAAGTCTTAAAAGGATTTATAGCTACCAAAATACTAATAATATATCTGATTATGTGATTGTGATTAAGTTGCGATGTGAATATGTGAATTATGATTTTTTGTGTTAGAAATTTGAGAACTGGGTAGGTGAAGAATAGTTTGATTATTAATCAATCATCATATGGAGTATGTTTTTAGCTTTTAAACTAGTAAAGCCTTTATTATCGTGTATATGATCCAATTTAACCCACCAGAGATGTTTTGGTGCAATTTGAAGTGAATGTCCAGAATTGAAATCTTTTTTTACTTGACAATATTTCACTTTTTAGATATTTAAATTATAATTTTTATGCATACATTGGCTCAATCAATCATGTTTTTAGTTTTTTAGTATCATGCCTCCAAATCCATGTCTGAGTTTCAAAAGAGGAAATGGAAATCGCATAGTGATTCATTAATTCAAATTCAAACAAAAGAACCACTCCAAATAGCACCTCCAGCTATGGTATCTATTGAGAAGGAATTTATTGAACATCTAGATTATGCCAACTTAATTATCACTTTTGCAGCTAAAATTGTCCAGTTAGTTGTACTTAATTAGTTATTTGAATACTTTGACATTAATGTAATTTTTATTTAATGTCATTTTTATGCTGTTTAATCTTCAACTTCAAAGAAAATTATAGTCTAAAAAGTTATGATGTATAGGACCTTTTATGAAGTTCGACTCTGGCTCGAATTTTGGTAGGATCGGCACTGCGTGAATGAAAACATACTATTATATGATTTAATATTATCTTGGAAGTGTTTACTCCTGGGATCTGTCCCATTAATCAAATCATATAGTTGAGGTGGGGGGTCCTTCAGTTTTGGAAATACTTTTTTTTCTTGCATGCAACAGAGAGAGTACTTAGGGTTGGTTTTTGTAGAACTTCGAAGTGTCCTCTCCTCAAACCAAAAGAGTGCTCCACAGTGGGGACAATTATGTGATGGGTCGTCAATGTCACAATATTAAGCACTTACTATGTCTAGAAGGAGAAGTTATGAAGTAACTTTAGTATGGAATAACGTAAAGAAAGTCCATTACTTGACAAAAATTAAATACTCAAGTAACAACATAATAGTTATAACGATCACACCTCAAGTCGATTTTACTACGTAGTATAATAGCATAGAAAACATTCCTGGGATATGACTAAAACAAAGTGAGCTTCTCGAAATGTGACTAGTTATGTTTTAATATGACCAAAAATAAAAACAAAATCTTTATATGAAATTGTGGAAGGACAAAAATACCTTTTTTTTTAAAAAAAATATGCATTTTACACTAATTTCGTCCGGGTAAAAATAATGCACTTTATGAAAACGTTATTGCACTACATTTATTGCACTTTATGGCGGTATTCACTGCACGCCATAACAAAAATGTTATGAATTTAGCGTTTTTTAGATTTCACAACTTTAGTTTTTACATCTAGTTAAATATAACGCACTTCATGGTGGAGTTATAGCACAATATTACATAAAATGCTACGAATTTATAGATATTTTTTCATGTCATTTTTAATGCACTTCTTTTCATGTCATTGCACTTTTTACATTATTGCACTTCTTGCCATATCATTGCACTTTTTGTCATAACTCATTGCACTTCTTGTGATGTTCACGACATTAAATATAAATTATTCATTGCACACTTCTTTCATCGTCTTCAACCTAGGCTTCGTCTTCAACCTCGGTCGCCTTGACTGAAGAATCTGAGTTGTAGGAGCGGCAGAGGGGTGTGGCTGAGCGGCAGCGAGTTGGATCGAGTGCAACCGTGCGAATGGATGACGATGAGGATGGCAACGCTCAGGGCTTGGGACGATGTTGGTAAGCAGGAATCGGGATGGAGGCGGCGCCCACGGCTCGAGACGATAGCGGCGTGCAGGTGTAGGGATGGCGGTGGCATACTGGCGTGGTCGGTTGGTGGCGGCGGCTACGGCGAACAAGCGTGGAACTGGGGGTGGTCGAACAAACCTGTGACTAGAGATGGACTGGTGGACGGCGGTCGTGGGTGCGTGCAGTGGTCCACGGGACGTCGGCGGCAGGGGTGTGCGATGAGCGCAGGAGGCGGGTGGATGTGTGCGGCTGGTTGCTAAGGTTTGTAGAAAAAGAGTAGGGAGGTTAGGGTTTTATAGGTATAGCATAAAGGGTATATTTGTACATAAAAATATTTATTTATTTATTTATTTATTTATTTATTTATTACGAATTTTAATTAAATAATATGAATTTAGGTATTATTTTGGGGGGAAAACTAGGTAGGTCATATATTGGGAAAATGAAAGAGTTTTAATCATATGGGGATAATGATTTCAATAACATTCAAAACATTGAAGTAATAGGATGTCAATTAACATTTCATTGAATTAATTTGGGGATCATTTTAAAACTTGTTAAATTAATATACGCATTATGTCTTTAGTATGCGTACTACATTTGAATTGGAAAATCCAAATTCAACATATACATTATAAATTTTAATGTACCACATTAAATCATAACAACATATTATTAAATTGAAATACCAACAACACCGTTATGCTATAAAACTATTTTGGTAAAAAAAGCACCATTTATTTGTAGACAAAAACGTTACATCAATTTATTAAAGAGGGTACTAATTTAGTTTCAACATGTCGATCATTGTTTGATGTCCATAAAGGTAATTATTAGTAAATACTTTGGTTAATGAAGTTATTTGGATGTATAAAATTTAGTAATTTGATATTACATATTAAATTTTAAATATTTCCACTACAAATGATAAAATACGAAGTATACTTTAAAAAAATATTAACGAAGTATATACTAAGTACTTTAATTTGGCTACAATTTATTAACTTTGGTTAATGAAGTACTTTAAAAAAATAAAATTATAAATTCAACTACATCACTACAAAAATAAAAAACTCGAATAAAAAGATTATAGTTATAACAATCACACCTTCGACTTGATGTGATTGTGATGAAAGTTCATCATGTATATGCGTTGATATACTTCGTCACACATATGATGGTAATCAGGAAGACAAACATTTGAGCATTTCCCTTTATTACTGATATTCATTGTCCTCACACTCGAAGAACGATTGAATAGCAAATGCGAGACTGTAGAAGTAAATACAAATAGTAAGAAATGAATATCGTTTAAATATGTATTGTCATTATTTAATTGTTGATATTCTGAAACCATAATTATTGAAATAAGAAGTACCATTCATTCTATCAACGAAAACGTCAAATTATCCATTGTGATGGGGCAACGAACGTTTCTAAACATTATGGTCAACATTTTCTGTCCACAAAGGCAATTAAATACAAATATGCTCTCAATTACATGATTCCAATACAATAGACTATTTATATATGCCCTCAATTTCTATATTTAAGGCAATTTTTTTTTCCCACCTCAATAATGGTACAACTCTCCATCATAATTGAAAAATAAAAAAGGTATACCTTCACATTTATAAGAAATGATCTAATTAATACTCTTTAAATAAATATTACCATTCTTTATACATAAGTTCATACTCCTTAAAACACAGACGGATGAGGGAAGATGGTAAAATAATGATAACATTATTATATATGTAATTGGTGCATTTCCGTGCGAAGCACATATAATACTACAGAGGTACGGAGTATAACTTAATCAGCCGCTTCAATCCCAATGCCACACATCTCTTTGAGGAGTACACGGTATTTCTCTATCATACTGGTAGTTCTGACAAGTTCATTCAATTTCTCGGCAGGATGGTCACGAGGCAATCCATTCACCATCATTTGGTATTCGCTTACTGTTCTCTCGCAAAAGTCTTTCTTCAGCTCACGTGACCACCATTCACCCCAAAAAGACTTGAATTCAGCACAATCTTTTTCAAGGCGTTCTAGAGGATACTCGCAGGAACGATTTCTCAAACCTCTCCGGTGTAAAAACTTACACCTTTCATAAAACTCTATGAGGCCCTCGCAATGAAAAACTTTACTTTCAAGCTCGTTACTTGACAATTTTGAGGAAAAATCAGACCCAAAGCTAAATCCCTTTCCAGCTGCAGCATATCTTACAAAAGAATCACTTTTGGAACGAGATGAGGAGTAATGCCCCCCTCCGCCGCCACGGAAACCTCGACCACCGCTTGAAACCACCATTCTTTTCGTGCGGGAACCCTAGGAATTGAATACGGTGTTTTAGAAGGACGGTAGAACACTTTCAGACTATAAACATGCCCTCAATTACTATTATTAATTTCTATATTTAAGGCAATTAAATACAAACATGCCCTCAATTACTATTATTAATTTTCGGAAATGTGACTCGCTTGCTCTTAAAAGTTGAAACTTTTATATTACCAAAATTAGAAACTTTAACAACTCGTTTTCTATTAGGAGTAATAATTTTGAATCTTATTTTAAGGAAAATAAGAGTAAACCTTTTATTCACAAATCTTACTCATGTAAGGGTCATTTTTATTTTCCAAATCACATTTTATAAATGTATTTACTTTAACGATTATAAGTATACACTTTTACACAACTCTTCAACCGTGCATCGCACGGGTGAAAATGTATTTGAAGTAATAGGATATCAATTCACATTTTATAGAAACAATTCATATTAATTTCTTTCGTTGTGAAATCATTTGGATGTAGTAAATTTAGTGATTTATATTACTCATTAAATTTTAATAACACTTTCAAACACATGATGTGTTTTTCAAAATATTAGGATAAAAAACAAGTACGGAGTAGTATTTTTTTACCGCTGTTTATTTCTATTACTAGTTTTTATCACGCGCGATGCGCGAAGAAGTAAATGCCCAATGGGATTTATTGTTCAGATAATTTGCATAAATTATCTAATTGTTATGTACATGCATAAATTATAAATATAATTCGCTCACGGAAAAAGAAAAAGGGGAAAAACAGAGCGTTTGCAATGAGTAAGATTTGTTAAAGGTAATACCATAATACATATGCACATCACTAACATAATAAAATCAACTCATTGTTGTCAATGCAACATCACAAGGGAATCCAAGTGTTTTTTATGTGAATGTAGAGTAATACACAACAATAACATTAAATCATTTGTTAGCAGGAAAGTTAAATATTACGGAGTATAATCGGTGATTAGATGAAAGGATGTTGCTCCTATTATTTTATACTTACTCCATCTCAAAATGATTGATAAAGTCTACTTTTATTAGTCAACATAGTTTTATTTAATTTAATAATGTGGGATATTGATTTTTATAAAATTCTAATTTTAATTTTGTGATTTTATAGAACCTTTCAATATAGTTCCTGAAAATGTAAGCTTTAATTATTAAAATTGATTTGAAATTAACTTTATTCTCGACCAATCATAAAAAATGCAAATTGAAAATAAATTTGGGATGCATAAAGCATTAGTATATGTGCTAATTGTGCTTGCATTGATAAATAATTATAATGTAGGGATGATGGTCAGTTTGTTGCCTTGTTGGGTATGTAGAAGAGAGAGTAAAATACGAAAGATAAAATCCCTTGTTTATCCCTTGTTTGGATGTCGGCGGCTTAAGTGAAAACGCCACTTTTTTACAAAGGTAAACACCGATTTTTGCAAAAGCGGAAATGTTTTTTTAATATGTGCAATAATACTTTTCAAAAAAGGACGCAGGAGCGCTAATATAGAACAAGCGAGAAAGAAAATTGGGAATACTCTTATGAATCTAAAAAACTAAGAGAACAAAAATCACAGCTTTACCTTCTAGGCTACAGCCAAAATCAATTAATGTGATTTTTGTAAGCCTGGAAAGGGTAAGCCTCGGTATGAGGGGCAATATCCTAGCATAGCACATTATTAATGTGAGGTAAGCCCCTCTGTCTGAGCCATAATGTTTTAGTCACGATATCAAATTAGATATATTAATTTATTATCCAAAGAGGCATGTAAATTGGCAAAATACTCTACTACCTAATCCGCTTCATCTGTAGATCCGAATAAGATGAAAAGATAGGGCTTAGCTTGCACCGCATAATTACAGTAAACCAAATACTTCGTGCTTTCTAAAAGTTAGTTATTAAACTTTAAAAGCTAATCGATCCATCTGATCTGCTTTCAAAAAGGAAGTCTTACATTTGAACCACTTTTAGAGCCTATTTTGGATCATTCAGAAGACACAACTGAATCTGCTAAAATATCTAAAATAAAGTCTTTGGAAACATAAAATTCAGCTCAATAAACCTTAGCTACTTTCATTTTTAAAACCATGATTGGGTTACTTAATAACTTACCAGACATGTTTTACTTTATGAATCCCACCTTTTTAAGAACGTATTCATACACAAACTCAAACTGCAAAACTAAATATGCTAAGCTATATTTTATAAAATGGACTTTAGGTAGAAACTCAATGCTGAGTTCCATTCGTGTATAACAGATGTTTCCCAAACAAAATAAAGAGCCTTAGTTTAATAATACTTCCTCCTTCCCAACATATATTTCCGTCCTAAATTGAGTTCTTATTTACTAACCAATCGTCAACACAATTTCCTTTTATTATTTAACTTTTTATATCAAATATAATCATATTTAAATTAAGTTTTTCACTTTAGCTGAACATTAACTATAGCATCTGAGTATATACACTTTTAAATATTATTGAGGATGAATATAATTAAATTTAATTGGGAACTCTAGAAGTGATTCCTTCCTGGCTAGATTATTATAAAGAAAGTTTCACACTGAGGGAAACTACCTTAGGTGTTTGGTATCCACTTTTAGAATCTGCATTTCAAAGTCTAAAAACACTTTGTTGTTTTAAAAAAAGTTTTTCATTAATTCTTCTACACTTCATAAAATACTTTCTAAAAGTTAGTCATTAAATTTTATACGCTTATCAGCCTGAGTTGATTTCAAAAAGCAACTTTTATATTTGAAACACTTTTAGAGCCTATTTTTGGATCATTCCGAAGAAACAACTGCTACAATGTCTAAGAGAAAAGTCTGCGGCAACATCAAAAACAGCTCAATAAACCTTAGCTAATTTCATTCTTAAAACCACAATTGGGTTACTTAATAATTTCATTCTTAGCTCAATAACAGGTTTTACTTTATGAACCCCGCTTTTTTAAGAACACTTCATCTTTTGAAAAAATGGGCCCTGGGTTGACTGACTGTACCCAAGTGAAATAGAAACACAAAGTAATATATTCTATCATTACCAGAACAAGAATGAAAAAGGCTTAACGGACCTGGTTTCTTGTAATAACAATCTCATTATTTGGAATAATAACAGAAGTATGTAATGGAGGAGGTGCAGGTGAAAGGAATGGTTGAGGCAAAGGAGGACCATATGGGCATTGTAGAGTTCCAGGAGAAGGCTGAAGCGGTGGAGTATCGAGAATGATCGTGTTGGATTCGTGTTGGAGTAAAAGTGTCATTCTGAGTACTTGAGGCAAAATGGGAGCGTGTCTAGGGACTGCTGTATTGGAAGAACCCTCAATTGTCATTGCAGTGTGCAAAAAGGAGAAAGAAAACGTCCTTGGTAGTAATTTCTATATGTGCATAATCAAAAGTAAACACTGCATCCACAAGAAATACAACATGGAGCTTAATAAATTGTTTATACGCCCACCAATTCAAATTTAGTGTACAAAGAGTGAAAAAACATACACGGTAAAAGTTCACAGAGGTAGGGTCATCCAGTCATCCAGAGCATCTTTGAGATTGGAAGTGGTTTTTTTTTCCGGTGTTAATCCAGAAAACCAAAAGCGTTCTTGATGGCTCCAATAGACCATTAATTACCATCCAACTTGGACCTCCTTGAAGCTCATCACGTTCACTGCATTAAAATGAGAACTAAAATGAGCATTAAACATTTATGCACAATAAAATCTTTACTCTATGTTTCTTCAAATGTATACTTTAAAGCAAAGCATAGATTATTTGGAATTCGGTCTTTCAACTCAAAGGAGGAGCCTTTGATAACAAACATGTTACATTACTTGTCATTAGCTAGTAAAACAAGCAAGTTTATTACTTGTATCTGAAATGGAAAAGAAACACAATGCAGTATACTAACTGTAATTCTATAAGGCATTAAGAGTTTTTCAATTTGTTCACCCCAAAGGTTTATAATAATAAAAAACCAAAAAGTTCAGAACTATATAACTACTAATAAAAAAAACTATAAATTTGTAATAATCTTAGATTTGAAACTTAAATGTGAAGGATAAAAATAACCTAAATGATCAAACGCTAAAATATGGAACTTAAATATAATTTGAGAAATGAAAGTAAAAATAAACATCTGAAACTCTGAATCATAATCTATTATTAACATTTAACAATATGATTAATTCACAATAATCAATTAAATTTGAATATAATAATCAGCTAATCACATAGTTAAACACTAATGGCTCATTGTGATCAATTAAATCTGAGATTCAGAAACCTTAATCAATCTATTATCAATTAACTTGGAAATACCGAAACAACCGGAATGCTGATGTAGAAGAGCAAGAGGGGATTCCAGATTCGAGAGTAGAGGGGGCTGAACCGCTGAGTCAATTGACAGATTGTGCAACTCAGGAGAAGAGCCGATTGACCGATTATGCTACAGCACGTGAAAAGCAGAGAGCTAAAGAAGGTGAAGACTCCTAGCGGAGAGTGGGAGCAGGCGAAGAGGCAACAGGACTTCGGATTCGGGGTTCCCTTCTTCTTTCTTTGTCGTCACTTTGATTCCAATTCAGCTATTCCAAACAGGCAGAACAAACCAGTCGGAAACCATTGGAGCCAGCTCGATCAGGCTAACGCAAAGGGCAACTGGTACGTCGTCGAAGCTGAGATAACAGACGGTATAATAGACGGGAGTAATGAGACGGTAATTAAACGGAAAAATAAATTCCTCTCAAAGAGTACATGTTTTGAAATAGATGGTACCACCTCATAAAGCTAAATGATTACACCAACATTTTTTTAATATCTAAAATACCCTTACCTTCATTGAGGGTTATAAGATTTTAAGAAAGAACGGTAAACTTATTGAATTTATTATATGATTTTATTTATTTTATTATTATCATTACCATTATACATAATACAAATTATATTTTTTAATCAACAAAAATTACTTAAGAATTTTAGGTCACATAAATATTCTCAAAATCCAGCTAAATTTTAACCCATTTGTATACTTATTTGGGTTTTTTACAAAAATATTACTAAAATAAAACTTATTTA